GAGGTGTGGGATCATAAGGAAGAGCTGGAGAAGGAGAAGATACAGGTATCTATCGTTCGTTTTTCTTCCCTCGCAGACTCGTATATCATCTGTCTTTATAGCTTGAAGACCAACTCCAGCAAGAACGTGAGCACTCCGAAGGCCTTGCACGCACTCTACAGGAATACGAGAATCGCATCTCGCAACTTGACCAAGAACGACAGTTCTCGCAAGAGAATGTAGGCCGCCTTGAGGAGAAGCTCCGCCAACGTGACGAAGAAGACACTGGATACTCAGAGCAAGCAATGCAGCGAGAAGCCGAGGTAGAGGAGCTCCGTGAGGAGATGACCAAACTCTGTCAGGAACACACACACGCTACCGATGAACTTGAACGCGCTCTTCAAGATGTATCAACCCGAGAGGGTGAAGCTCGAGCTCAACTGGAGAATTTGGTACGCCAGCAGGTTACCGTGGACATCGAAATGAAAACGTCGCTGGACAAGGTCGCCGCTCTCAAAGAAGAGGTCGAGCGTCAACGGAGGAAGATCCAGGTGTTGCAACAAGAAAGTGCAGACAAGGAGGTGAAGCTTGTGCAGCTTAACAAGCAGCATCAGCGGGACAAGGAAGACCTTGAAGGCATGAACACAGCCTTGGATTCCAAGCAGATGGAATTGGAACTCGTAAGTCATTATCTCTTTCTGACAATGAACATCGTCGTCATCGTAGTAAATCTAGATCAAACGGAACCTCGGAGTACGTGGGACAGGCGGCGCAACTCCAGCACCGGCTTCACGCGCAGCCATCAGCCGTCGCGACTCGTCCGTCTTCAGCACGCCCAGTATATCCCGCCCTCCCTCCACCACGTCAGATGCTGGAAGCACAGTTGGCAAGGATCGAACACGCACAAGTGTCGCAACACCCGCCTCGGCCATCAAGATCTCTGCACTTGGCAAGAGTGTTCGCCCCAATGGAACTGCGTCCACTATTACTGCGTCTAAGCGCGTAGAAGGCTCCATGGGCCCTCCTCCAAAAGCTCGTTCTTCTCTCACGCCCACCTCCGCCCCACGCGTATCATCGCTCTCACGGTCGTCTTCTGCCAAGCCAGCAACGCCATCATCAGTGGTATCAGTGCAACGGCGCATTGCGTCCCTCGATAAAGGTCAACCTCAGAGTAAAACGAAGACGACTCTACGTCAGACGATCCAAAGCCCAATTTCCAGTCTGTCCGAGCAAGATGAGAAGGAGAATGTGGACGTAACCTCCAAAAATCAGAAGAGGAGAAGTCTGCTCCCAGCACCCGCCTGAACTTAACCTTTCTCTCATCTCGGCCGACCAGCTTCAATCCACGCGCATATCGTATCATGCAGGCGTTGCATATGGACATTGATCTTCACCCTTTTTTCACATGAATTATTACCTTTGCTTTCTTTGTTGCTTTATTGCTCCCCCCATGCTCTCCTCTGAAGAACTCTACGCACTCTATATCCTCCCCATATGTACGCTGAACGCTATGTTCACGGAGTCGCTGTTTCATGATACGTTATCTTGTCAAATTTTCAATAAAGCACAATTGTACGACTTGATTCGACCTATGTATATCATTGGTGCCTTATTTATATCTCCCATGTCCTGACCCCTGGAGAATGTTCAGCAGACAAAATTAGCCAAAATATTTTGATTTTCCCATCGTGGTCAATCGGGAGAGTTAACAGTCATAATTATTGCGAAGGTCCATAGGCCTCATAAGCGCCCTTTGCTTACTGTCGAAGGAATCATCCTGTTCTCTAAGACTCTCCTGTGTTCCAGTACATGTAGTCCTCCCTAAGTGACCCTGCATATGATGAAATGTATCCGGGTATCAATTCAATTGCTCGGGAAAAATATCACCACATGGCGCCTATCAAAAGAAATTAACATTAGCCTTTGAAACCTTGAACGAAGGCTTTTTTTTTGTCCTTCAAGTTCCTTCCTCAGGTGTCCTCAACGAGTAGTACTTGGAGTCCTCGACGCACTCTGCGAAGTCAGCGGAAGTGATAGGTTGCTCCAACGAGAAGACCGCCCTATCAGCATCTCCTTCTTTTCGCTTTGCAAAAACATGGCTCCTTCCCCCACTCCCTCGCTCACCAACAGTGCCGACGATGATAAGGAACTCTTGGCCCTGGGCTATAAGCCCTCGTTTAAAAGAGAGTTTTCAAACTTAGCGACAGTATGTAACTTCTCTCATGTCAATTCTGTTGGTCTCAGAGGCACTCTACAACATAGATAAGCTTCGCGTTTAGCATCATGGTAAGTTCACAATCGTGTATGATTGCCTGTGATACTGAACCTACTTCACAGGGCCTTTGCTCCAGTATTGCGACCACATTCAACACACCGCTTCTCCTTGGTGGTCCTGCATCTGTGCGCCCGGCTTTATTGAACATGCATCTTATCTTTATGAACATTATCCTCTCTGCAGGTGACTTGGTGCTGGATTTTGGGAGCGACAATGTGTTTTACACTCGGTGCGAGCATTGCTGAGATCGTCAGTGCATACCCTACATGTGGAGGCCTGTACGTTGCGGTATCATATCATTGTCATTGTTCTTTTAACCAAATCACTTATAGCTACACGGCTTCCGCTCGGTTAACACCTAAGGCATATCGTGCAAGGGTACGAGCCCTCGCACATCTTGCAGAGTGAAACTGACGCAAATGTACAGATCGGCTGGGTGGTTGGCTGGCTTAACATTCTTGGTGAATAATAATGCGCTATTCTGACATTTCTCTCCACACTAAGGTCATTTTCCTGTAAAGGTCAAATCGCCGGCGTTTCCTCCACCGAATTCGGTCTTTCCAACATGATTTGGGCCGCAGTCGCGATTGGAAAGGTACTTACTTCACAATCTATCTGCGGAGCTTCCGAAAACTGACCTCTCCCTGTTGCCTTTTTCTTAGGGAGGCGATTTTGAAGTTACTCAGGGTAAAGTAGTGGGGCTATTTGCCGGTCTCCTTGTGGTTCATGGAATTTTGGTACGTACCAAGTAGATCAGTGTCGATAATTCGTTTCATCTCCATCTAGAATTCACTCGCGACACGCCAACTGGCAATGCTGACGAAAGGTTTCGTGTTTGTCAACTTGGGAACAACTTTTTGTGCGTTTCTTTCGCTGTTCTCCTATCGTGCCTACTTGACGAGCCATGAATTTACCTCTCTAGTGATTATCATTGTCTTGCTTTCAACGACCCCACGATCTGAGATGCATCCTGCCAGTTACGTATTTGGGTCAGCTGGCATCATCAATCAAACTGGAGGATGGAATACTGGGCTAGCATTCCTTTTCGGTCTTTTAAGTGTTCAGTGGACAGTGCGTATGATTAACCAACCATACCATACGATCAGCTAACCATGTGTTTAGATGACGGTCAGTGACAAAGTTTTGGTGATGGGCATGTGCTGAATATATAACAGGACTACGACGCGACTGCACATATTTCGTAAGTCCCGCCTTTCTCGGCATAGTTATTTTCCACAGTTCAATTAATTATACAGAGAGGAAGTCCGCCGAGCAGCATATGCAGGTATGTCAGCCTCGAGATCAAGTTGAAAAATTGGTAATTTCAATCCCCTGAAATCGTAGCCCCGTCTGCTATCTTTATTGCTGGTTAGTACCGCCGTTGTCGCATTCGCGCGAGCGCCTGGTTCATAACGAGATCACAGTCCTGGGAACAGGCCTCATAGGCTGGCTATTGAACGTTGTCGTAGTACTGTGCTCCGGACCTCTGTGCGTTCTACGATTCTCATGCGAGTGCGTAGCTTACTTGTGGATCCTCAGTGAGAACCTTCCGGGGCCATCGAACTCTGCGTTTCTTGAGGTGCTTTGAGTATCATTTTAAAGCAGAAGGTACCACTGACATCTCCGACAGATTATGTACATGCGCATGGGCAAAACTGGTGCATTGATTCTCTGGGTATGCCTTTTGCTTTTACACGAATATGACAATTGTAACACCCTTTGCGTAGACTTTCGTTTGCCTGACCGCCTTTTTCGTCGTTCAAACTGCACTACAAGCTGTTACACGTACTGTCTATGCGTTCAGCCGTGACAATGGTACGATACTTTCGATGATCCTTTTTACGCAATTTATGACGTTTCATAGGTTTACCTGATCGTGGATATTTCGGACATATTTCAAAAAAGACTTTCACTCCGCTGCGCTCTATCTGGCTCTGCACATTCGTGAGCATCCTGCCTGGCTTGCTTGATCTCGCCAGCCCTGTCGCCGCCAACGCCATTTTCTCTCTGACCGCTATGGCGCTGGACCTCAGCTATATCATTCCTATTGCTTTGCGGCGCCTCAATCAAAACCACCCCGAAGTGATGTTCAAGCCTGGCCCTTTTTACATGGGCAACGGATTCCTTGGCAAGTTCTGCAATGCCACCTGTATTTTATGGACCCTCTTCGTTGTCGTCATCTTTTCCATCCCCACTTATAAACCCGTCACGAAGGATAACATGAACTATGCTTCGGTGTGTGCCCACACAATCGAAGCTCGTCATAATTTTTAACACTTGTCATTCCAGGTTATCACACTCGGCGTTTTGATTCTATCAGGGTACCCTTCGATTCCTTATCTTCCTGCATGCTTCGATGCTGATCAAAACACAAACAGAATTTGGTGGATCTTTGGAGCGCACAAATACTACCATGGCCCGCAACCCAACATCCACGAGCTCCCTTCGGTACGGGATATTGCTTCCCCCAGCACACAATCCGAAGACCCCAAAAAGACGGAGGTTAAAGGGGACGTAGTCCCGGTCTAGCCAACTTCATGTGTCTCACACGTTATCTAATGCTCAATATTTCCAACCTTAGGTATCATTGTATACCATCACATACCTTTACGACTTCTGAGAGATTAATATTTCTCTTCTATAGTCAGTTGATTCTGGACGGTAAAACATTTATGACGTTTCTTTGATGCCTTGACAGTATAGAAAACGTTTTTACTCACTCAAGGAAAGTGAGTTGTTAGTTGTTACACTGATGGTGAAGCGGTTATCATGCTTGCCTTCCATGTGTCCAGCAAGCGGCAGGGGTTCGACTCCCCTTCAGTGTAAGCTAGAGCATAATGGCTTCTTTCAAGTGATGGTGATCCTAATGGCCATCGATATGTTTTTAGGTACGCGATAACTATGTGTCTCTTTAACACGCGACAACGCTGGGTAGCGTCTGCTGTTATTCTCTGAGTATCTTAGATGCACATCCGTATGACTTGCTAAGCTATACCAGTGGTAATAAAATTATGAAGCCAGTCACTTGGCTCGAGACTGTCTACGTGCACACGTATACGGGGCCGTCGCTAGTGTGGGACTGGACCCCACGATGAGCTTTCTTGCTGCTCAAAGGGATCGTTCTCTTGACACAAACATGGCAGTAATCTTAGAAGCGCAGTCAAGCTCAGGCTTTTGCAGCACACTATGTAACCAATCAACTGGTCATTCATTCACTCAGCTGGGCGATTGAATCTAAATTGGTGTCCAGTATCAAATATATCTGCAGCTGGTCGATTCAGCCAACGCAACAACTTGGCCTTGTCTTAGCGTTTCATCTATTGACAGCACAATGCAAGTGCTCCTTAGACTATCCATCAAGTACATATCATGAATTTATTATTCTGGGCAAGCAGCCTGCTCCTTCAAGCTTAGCACGCCTTGGCACTGTCACCGAGTTTATAGCCTACCTTCCAGTACGGCATATTATAGATTATGAATGAAAGGCATGGCGTCGACTATGTATAAACGTTAAGCGCTAAGCGTCGACGTCGATATCAAGGGGTTACCAGTGTGTTTGGTCTCCGCTTGGCTTCCTAATTTTGTCACATCTGCCTTGGCCAACCACGTTCCTGTGACTTGTTCGTTTCACTTCGTTATCTCGTCTTCGCATTGGCAGCACCTAATGAAGCTGGACTAGCCTCAACTCGGAGTCAAGTAAGAAAACGAAAATTCCATGACGTTCAAGCCTGCGTAAGTAAGCTTGGCATGACGATCCCAAAACGTCAGATGAGGCCTTCAGAATCTCTTGGACAGGACTCCAGGATGACCGAGGGCAACTGCATTTGTTTCTACTATATGTATTGTTCACGGTGCTCGCACCGGATCACGATGTCTCCATTCTACTCCCTCATGCGCATGCCTCGCCCCATTGTCTAGCTCACCAGCATCCGTTGCTCCAACCTTAACAGTCGCTGTCTATTGGGGGGACTCTAATTGGGACATACCTATACAAGTACACACCCCCTACATACGCTTGGCACCAATCTCCTCTCCTTCGGCAGCTCTCTCCTCCGTTGTTCGGCAGACTGAACGCCCTCCGCATATGGTGTTCACCGATCATCGATTATAGAGCATTATATACCTCCTTATTCTCTTCGCCTCAATAGCCTGCTTCGGATAGCGCCGACGCCAGCACTATCCTGGGCTTGGTTTCCTTGGAAAAGCTTATCCTTATCAACACAGCATGCATGCTCAGTGCACTCGGCCATCCAGAGAGTGGCAGGTGCAGAGAATGCCTACCGTCCACTGTCCGCCGCCTCCGGCGCCCGGGGTTCATACCTACAAGGTCGGGTACATGGTATCTCAGTCTGCGCCGGCGCAATCTCAGAGTGATCCACTAAGGATTTCTGTACCCTACAGCCTTGTATTGCATTCATTAGAGCTAGTACCGCTGACAGCCCCTGATATGCCATTTTGAGGCCCTGTGCTCAGCTGGATTTTCCCTGGTTTAAGCTTCAAAACCTCTTGCGCCGCACTGGTTTTCCTACATGCGGAGATTCCCGTGGTTAGAGACGCTTTATATCCTTCTTCCTCCGCTGCAACAAAAGCTGCCACTGAATCATCGCCGAGCCGTGATTTATATCTTTCACACCCCTGTGAGATCTGGTTTTCATTGGCATATACGCCGACTTGAGCTGGCCTGCTATGGAGACTTTCGACCTGGCAAGAGGAACAACCTCGACATTTTGGTAGATCTTATCACCACCACCGGACGATCTGCGGCCTCAACTGCCTGCTCCATCTGAGAATTGGCAAGACAGGCCGATGTGCTCATCAACAAACCTCAACCACGTCAACCACAAGTCACGTATTCCGCGTGCATTGATGAATGATCTTGACGCCCCACCTTGTTCCCTCGTCCACAAAATTCCTTCTCACCGAACCCACAAGACAAGACCTTTATGCTTCTCTGTCACTTCGACTCGTACGCGTGCACTCACATTGATACAGGGTAGTGAAGAAGATCACAACTGACCACATTGTCACTAGTCAGTCTGTCAGGTCACATTGTAATGGATTTGATCATCATGTACGTTCGCGCACGGACCCATGGCCACGGCCATCGCACCGATGGGCCTCAAGTGGCCCATGGGGTTCGCCTCGCCTACCCCAACGCAACGCAACGCAGCTGATTTTGACCTTCTGAATTCTCTGGGGATGTCAAGGAAACTCGCTGCTTTTGGTCCATGTCACCGACTATCAATCGGTATTGGTCGCTAACGGGAGTAGACATCACACCCAGCTCCATATTCATCTCCACAATGTATGTATTATATGCATGCTGCTGTAAGCTCTGGGTCGATAGTTCATGGTCGAGGGACCGTTATAGGGCAACGTGCTCTGCTTTCGAACAGACGATCCTGCTCCGGCACGCACCGGGAACTTTTATACCCTCCCACCCTGCATTCATCTATCCACACCCTCCCTGTCTGTCGCTGCAGCCCTGCTTCGGGATGCCCTCCTATGTAAGTAAAAACACATCCGGAGATCATCAGGGATCATCATATGCCTGATCCCTGATCCCTGCACTATCATACTGGCTTAAATTTAGCACCGCGTGGACCCCTGGTGCCACAAGTCCATTTCCACGAACTCCTTGTACAACGCACGGAGGTGGGGCCGGCGTCGAAGGCCGCTGTTTGATTCTGAGGAGAGTTTTGCTTCAATCGAACATTGCCACAACCTGAGCGCTGGATCACCTTGTGACGGTATATGTCGACTGCCGACTTGGTGTTTTCTTCTGAATCTTGGTGATAGCGAACTTATGTGTGCACCGAGTGTAGGTGTGGGTGGGCGGTGTATTTATACATGGGGCTCGCTTGGACCTGGGCTCAACAAACCATCCTGTCTCTTGTTCTTGTGTTCTTGTTCTTTTTTTCTGATCCAGCCAGCCCGCTCCGCACATCCGGTCATGATCTATGCCCGACTGTACCTAACCCCAGGATCCAGCTTCAAGTTGATCACGATAAACCTCCACAATTCCAGAACTTGACATATTGTGACATCAATCCCATCCAAAAGGGCCCAGGGTGCCCAATGATATCTATGTACATACATCTATCCATCACACCTTTCCCCCCCTCACCAAATTTCAAATAACCAAATTTCTCGAAAGATCTTGAAATCTCGGACCCTGTGCTCGTCATTGAAGCTAAGCGCTTATTCCTCATGACCACAAGCACCTCCTCGTCGCCGCCGCCGTCAATGTGGGCTGCCCTTCCCCAGCTTGGCTTGTTCTTATTCTCGTGCCCACCCATGGGCTTGGGTCGATCGAAAGTTCGAGGGTCCAAACTTTCTTCCAATGTACCACGCTGCGCTCACTTGTACTTGTAATAACTTCCTCCGTCGCACGTCCTCTCCACTAATGGTGGATGAACCCTCGAACCTTGCTCCCTCTATCAATCACGAGACTCGCCCTCTCCTTTACCTCCCTCGGCCCAGGGCTATGTCAAACGCTGTTGGCTGCTGTGTATGCATGTTGAGTGGTCAGGCAGTATCGATCTGGGGTGGGCACGGGTCTCCGACCCCCACGCTCGCGATCACAGAACTGCTGCCAACCCACTGGTGTTAGGCAGGCTCCGACGACGCAGGGTCAACTGTGTGTCATCCCCTCAAGCCCTCGAGTAGCCACAATTCTACATGTTGATCGATCTCTTCTACATATACATTCATTCATTTTCCATGTCTGCAGGGGGCTGGCTGGCTCTGTTCTGTACTTGACGCACGGAGGGACGGACGTAACCTAACACGATCATGACAACTCATAAGTACATACATATAAACCACCCAACACACCGGGGTTTGGAGAGGGGCGGTGCGCAACTTACATGCAACACACACATACAATGATAGAGATGCAACACGGGGTCGAGGCACGCGAAGGAAGAAGAACACCGACCCTCTTCCACGGTTCCCAGAATAGCGCATACACACATATATGTATCGATTGGCAAGGTCATGCCATGCTGAGATAGCCGGAACCCATGCCCGTGCCGTACACACACACGCTGTCAACCCACGACGGAGAGAGAAAAGCAGACACTTAAGTAGCAAAGGAAGGAAGGAAGGGTCGGGGACGACAGCGGCGCCGGCGTTGTGATCATTTTGCCTGGAGGGCTGGATCACACGCGTTCCAGGCTCATGTCTCCTGCGTCCTGGAAAGCCGGGCGACAGAAATAGGCGTGATGAGCGCCAAGTCGGATACAAGACGTTTTTGTTTTTTTTTTTCCGAATTCAAACACAGGTTTTCGACAAGTAACAGTAACTGGGGGTAGAATGTACGCTTAACAAGGAACGAATCCAGGAATAGACCTATGCTGCTTAGTAGGGAAACGGATCCAGGAATAGAACTACGGTGGTTTATCAAGGAACCGAATCTAGGAATAGAACACATACATATACCATTTATTCAAGGGAGCACAAAGCCACACATTATTGAACGGGTTCTGACCATTTTCGACGCCGCCCGGGCGCGAGGGATCACCCATCCCAGGCAAAATGAATCAACGAACGAACGAACGAATGAATGAATGAATGAAATGCTGAGACCCTCGAAAGCACATTGCATTGGACAACGGCAACCTCCCCCCGTGCTATGGCAGAGCCACAAATGACCTCAGAGCGAACACGTTCCACGCTCATGTGTCCCCGCGTCCAGGTTTATGTTTCCTGGCGAGCCGGGAGGAGGGGGGGGGGCGACAGAAAGAACTAAACTAGGCATAGGGCATAGGCGCAGTAGAACGAGAGCCACACAATTGCAATGAACAATGGAGCCCCGGAGCCC